TGGGCTCATACATATTAGGATCTGGTAAGATAATACATTAATAATAATATAATTTAATATTATATTATAAAATGTATATATTTGTTTCTTATCTATGTATATATTATAAGATAGTAATATTTACATAATTATTGTTAAGTAATTTATTTATAGTAACATAATGTTATGTTCTTATATAGTAAGTTATTAAATATCTATAATAAATTTAAACAATGACAAATTTATTCAATCAACGAAAAATCTAAAAATTATGAGGAGCTAGAGATCCGCAATATCACGCCTATAAAGAAACGCCAAAGTTATGAGAGGCGCAAAAATGGTGGTCTGTGATTGGTCGAAAATTCAAACGGTTACTTTAAAGTTTAGAAGACGCTGGTACACCGGAACTAGTGCAAGACCCCAAGATCCCACAGATAAATCCGATGAAGCAAAATCATAGAAAATACCTGATAATAAACCATTTTAACATTAAAATGATTTGTTAATTTGTAACATTTAATTATATAAAACAATTCCGAAACATTTCAGTGCAAAATAAAGCAAAACTTTAAACTTGCATATTTCCTATGAAAATGCGGAAATTCTGCCAAAAATTGCAACATAAGATTTCTGATCATGTTATCATTTACAATTTTTTAATATCGAATCACAACATTTAAATTAATTGCATAAGAAAGCAAATTAGTTACCATTCGCTGACATGTCTAATCTCTACCAGCTTCCAAGAAGACCGATGGATATACTGATGGTTTGGAATATGCTGCAGAGTGATGGCGGCGAAACCGGACTGTGCTGCGATCCTGCCATTGGAAATTGTCATTTGAATCCATTGGCATCATCCAATCCCACTTGCGAGGTATTCCCTCCACCACTCTGCAGCACATTCCAGACCATCACTTGTGTTGATACCTCATTTCTGACAAAAGCAATTTGAATTATTTGGACTTAAGCACCATCTACAGAAAATTGAGGTAAACACGTACACAAACGACTTTGCGAATTTGACACGTTGAATCTCGTGCTGACCACTGTATGTACATATGTACATATGTACATTTCCACTGTTACAATGTGAATAGTTTTTACGTTTGTTTTTATGGAATTCGTTGACTGAACTACGGTATCTCAACATTTGAAGATATAAAGATTGTGATAATGCCTCTTGTAGACGTTGACGTGACTCCGAGAGTTTGAGTAACATAATTGTTTAACAAATTTTGCCTGCTACGTGTCATTTAAGGTTAGGATTGGTTAGGGGGTTTCTGCAATATGACTGAATAACATACTTTTAGTATGCCGAAATTTCGAATGCTTCCGCGAACATCACGGATTGTGGCACTATGTTCCGCCGCGAATTTTATAAACGCGGCGGATCGAGTAATAATGCCTATTGCAATTGTCACAATGACCGAAGAGTATAAATGGAGTTTATATTGGCAAGGTTGGATACTTTCTGCTTTTGCCTTTGGTTATTTTACTAGTCAGGTACGGTGAAATATTCAATATTTGTATTATATATTAGGCAATGGGCGTTAGGATATCTTGTTTAAATTATCTTTTTTAAATCAGATTATTGGTGCAAATACAGCGAGTCGTTTTGGATGTAAAACGGTACTAATGTTTGCAGTTTTATTATGGTCTATTAGTACAATTATAACACCAATCCTGGTACAGTCAGTTCCATTGCTCATTATATGTAGAGTGGTTTTAGGATTAGGAGAAGGTCTAGGTAAAGTA